CCTGTTCTCCATGCCCCAAGTACAGTCTTCTTTAGTCCTTTCATGTTTGAGCACAGATTATATAACCCCATAGTTATATGGCCATCCTGCCTAAAGCAATCTACAGATTAAATAAATGTTTCTGTTTATTGATACCTTCTTTAATTTCTCTCATGAGTGTCTTGTACTTTTCAGAGTATAGGTCTTTCACTTCCTCGGTTAGGTTTATTCTTAGGTATTTCATTGTTTTTGATGAAATTGTGAATGAAAGTTTATTCCTGAATTCCCTTTCTGCTAGTTCATCATTAGTGTATAGAAAAGTAACACATTTCTACATATTAATTTTGTATCCACAGCTTTACTGATTTCAGATATTAGATCTAGTCATTCTGGAGTGGATTCTTTAGGGCTTTTTATGTACAATGTCATGTGATCTGCAAACAGGAACAATTTGACTTCTTCCTTGCCAATCTGATGCCTTTTATTTATTTGTGTTATCTGATTGCTGTGGCTACGACCTCCAGAATTATGTTGAATAAAAGTGGGGAGAGTGGGCATCCTTGTCGTGTTCCCGATCTTTAAGGAATGGCTTTCAGCTTCTTGCTGTTAACTGTAATGTTGGCCGTGGGTTTGTCATATATGGCCTTTATTATGTCGAGGTTCTTGTTCTCCATACCCATTTTGTTGAGCGTTTTTATCATGAATGGATATTGAGTTTTGTTGAATGCCTTTTCAGCATCTATGGAGATGATCGTGTGATTTTTGTCCTTTTAGTTGATGTGGTGGTTGATATTGATGGATTTTTGAATGTTGTACCATCCTTGCATCCCTGGAATAAATCCTACTTGATTGTGATGGATGATCTTTTTCATGTACTTTTGAATTTGGTTCACTAATATTTTGTTGAGTATTTTTGAATCTATGTTCATCAGGGGTATTGGTCACTCATTTTCTTTTTTTGTGGGGTCTTTGTCAGGTTTGGATTAGAGTGATGCAGGACTCATAGAATAAACTTGAGAGTATTCCCCCTTCTACTTTTGGGAAAACTTTAAGGGGGATTGGTATTATGTCTTCACTAAATATTTGATAAAATTCAGAAGTGAAACTGTCTGGTAAAGGGGTTTAGTTTATAGGTAGTTTTTGATTACCAATTCAATTTCATTGCTAGTAGTTGGTCTATTCAGTTTTTCTGTTTCTTCCTGGGTCAGCCTAAGAAGGTTGTGTTTTTCTAGAAAGTTGTTCTTTTCTTTCAGGTTATTCAGTTTGTTACCTTATAAATTTTAATAGCATTCTCTCATAACTCTTTGTAATTCTGTGGTGTCTATCATGATTTTTCTTTTCTCATTTTTGATTCTGTTTGTGTGTGTGGACTCTCTTTTTTCTTGATAAGTCTGGCTAGAATTTTATGTTTTGTTTGTTTTCTCAAAGAACCAACTCTTGCTTTCATTGATTCTATTGATTCTTTCTGCTGTTTTATTATTCACAATTTTCTGATCTAATCTTTATTATGTCTTCTACTGACTTTGGGCCTCATTCTTTCTTCCTATTCTGGTTTAATTGTGAGTTTAAATGGATCATATGGGTTTGCTGTTCTTTCCTGAGGTATGCTGGTATTGCAATATACTTTCCTCTTAGCATGACCTTTGCTGCGTCCCACACATTTTCTGGTGTTGAGTTATTATTGTTATTTGTCTTCATATATTGCTTGACCTCTGTTTTTCCTTGTTCAATGATCCATTGATTATTTAGGAGCATGTTACTAAGCCTCCATGTGTTTGTGGAACTTTTCATTTTTGTTGTGTACTTTACTTCTGGTTTCATACCTTTGTGATCTGAGAAGCTGATTGGCACAATTTCAATCGTTTTGAATTTGCTGAGGTTCTTTTTGTGGCCTAGTGAATGATTCTTGAAAACCTTCCATGTACACTTGAGAAGAATGTGTATCCTGTTGCTTTTGGATGTAGAGTTCTGTAGATGTCTGTTAGGTCCATCTGTTCTAGTGTGTTGCTCAGTGCCTCTGTCTCTTTACTTATTTTCTGTCTTGTTGATCTATCCTTTGGAGTAAGTGGTGTGATGGAGTCTCCTAAAATGAATCTGTTCCCTTCTATTTCCCCCTTTTATTCTCTTAGTATTTGTTTTACATATGTGGGTGCTCCTCTGTTGTGAGCATAGACATTTATAATGGTTATATTCTCTTTTTGGATGGCCCCATTTATCATTATATAATTTTCTTCTTTGTCTCTTGTGACTTTCTTTGTTTTGATGTCTATTTTGTCTGATACAATTACTGCAACTCCTGCTTTTTCCTCTCTGTTAGTTACATGAAATATGTTTTTCCATCCCTTCACTTTTAGTCTGTGTATGTCTTTGCGTTTAAAGTGAGTCTCTTGTATGCAACATATAGACGGGTCTTGTCTTTTATCCATGCAGAGACTCTATGTCTTTTGATTGGTGCATTCAGACTATTACATTTAGGGTAATTATTGATATGTATTCACCTATTGCCATTGCAGGCTTTAGATTTGTGGTTGCCAAAGGTTAAATGGTAATTCCCTTACTATGTAATACTCTAATTTAACTCATTTAGTATGCTATTACAAACACAACCTAAAGGTTCTGTTTTTTTCCTCATTTTTCTTCATCCTCCATTCTTTGCATATTAGGTATCATATTCTGTACTCTGTCTATCCCTTGATTGACAGTGGGGCAGTTCATTTGATTTTGCATCTGCTTAGTAATGAATTATGCTACTTTCTATGCTGTGGTTTTATTTCCCCTGGTGACAGCTATTTAGCCTGAGGAACAGTTCCATCCGTAGCAGTTCCTCCAAAATGTACTGTAGAGGTGGTTTGTGGGAGGTAAATTCTCTCAGCTTCTACTTATCTGAAACTTGTTTAATTCCTCCTTCAAACTTAAATGATAATCTTGCTGGAGAGAGTATTCTTGGCTTGAGGCCCTTCTGCTTCATTGCATTAAATATATCTTGCCACTCCCTTCTTGCCTGTAAGGTTTCTAGTGAGAAGTCTGATGATGGCGTGATAGGTTTTCCTTTGCATACAATCTTTTTTCTCTCTCTAGCTGCTTTTAAAAGTCTGTCTTCATCCTTGATCTTTGCCATTTTAATTAAATGTCTTGGTGATGTCTTCTTTGGGTCCCTTATGTTGAGCAACCTTTGCTCCTCCATGCTTTGAGAGAGTATTTCTTTCTCCATATTGGGGGAGTTTTCAGCAATTACCTCCTCAAAGACACTTTCTAACCCTTTTCCTCTCTCTTCTTCGTTTGGTACCCCTATAATGCGAATATTATTCCATTTGGATTGGCTACACAGTTCTCTCAATATTCTTTCATTCCTGGAGATTCTTTTTTCTCTCTGTGCCTCAGCTTCTTTGTAGTCCTCTTCTATAATTTCTCTTCCATTTACCATCTCTTCTACTCCATCTAATCTGCTTTTAAATTCCTCCATTTTGTGTTGTATTTCAGATATGGAATTTCTTAATGATTGCATCTCTGTCCTAAATTCATCTCTGAATTTTTTAATATTTTTCTGTATCTCCATGAACATGTTTATGATTTTTATTTTGTACCCCCTTTCAGGAAGATTGGTACGATTGTTTTCATTTGGCTCTTTTCCTGGTGTTTCTGAGATTTTCTTTCGATGTTTCATATTTGTATGTGGCATCCTCTAGTGCCCAGAAGCTCTAGTCTCTGGAGCTGCTCAGCCCCTGGAGTGATGTTGGGGGTTACAGTGGAATGGTTGCAGTGCCTTAGGGGAGGAAAGAGCTGTTTCCTGCTTCCCGGCTGCAGTGCCCTGTCTCCACTGTCAGAAGAAGTGGGCCAAGCACACAGGTGTAAGCCTCTGTGCTTTGCATCTGTAGCTGCCATAGGAAGGGCCTCCCTCTGGCTGACACCAGACCAGGGACTACTGGTTTGTGAGCTCGTGCCAGCAGAACAGGAGGAAGGTGCAGCAGGCTGTGCATCACAGTGGTGGGCATCGGGGCTGAGCAGCTAGCCAAGTGGATTTCAGGAGTGCTTTAAGCTCCTCAAAGTTCCCAACCTGCTAGGCAGAGTGTGCCCAGACAACCTTGTCCACCTATCTCTTCTCTAGCGCAACATGCTCCATGCCAACTCTGCCCCTTCAAGAGTCCTCCTGCTGCTAGAAAGCCTCACAGACTGCCAGCCTTTCCTTTGTCCCAGAGTGGCCGGATGTGAATCCATGTCCTCCACAAATGGCTTGAATCTCAGTCTCTCTGAGTATCCCACCTATCTAATCTTTCCAACCCCAGTAGAGTCCAGAGCACCATGCAGTGTAGGTTTCTGCTCCCAAAGCAGACCTCCAGGGCTGGGTGTTCAGTAGTTCTAGGCCTCCACCCTCTCCCCACTGTGTTTCTATTCCTCCTGCCCTTAAGCAGAGGTGAGTGAAGGGCCCACCGCATCAAGGGTTACCTGTTTGTTCGTGAGATCTTTAAGCAATCTGTTGCCAACTTATTTTCTGTTGCTTTTTTAGGGTTAGTTGTTTTAACTTTATTTTCTTATAATGTCTGGTTTTGTGAGTTCTCCATAAGATGAGTGAAGTTACGAATAACGACAGTGTGCGTTTTAGAAAACTAAGTAACTTTTATGGGCTTTTAAGTGGTTTAGAGAAGAAGCTTTGGATCAGATTGCACTACCACTGAAACTGTGATCTAAGGTGTATAATCAAACATTTCTTTACCTCAGTTTCCTCATCTATAAATGGTGATGGTTATAGTACCTACCTCATAGGGTCACTGTGAGGTTCAAGTCAGGTTGCTCATGTAAAATGCTTAAAATAAATTCTGAAATATTGTAAAAATAGAAACAGACAGTAGCTGATTTGTTGCTGTTCTTACTAGCTATTAAAATGTATCAGACATTGTGCAGAAGGGATCAGGAAAGGAAGGCAGCAGTTTCTAGCACACTCAGTGCCTTCTCCTCCTCTTACCTGTGTTGGGGTCCATGAGAAAAATTTTCTTGTCAATAGGATTTAGGAAATACTCACCTTTTCATGTTTTACTCCATTCCACTCTGAAGGCCACCCAAGAAGGATTGTCTAAAGGTGAAGAAAGGTCAATGTTCCAGTTGGTAAGTAATTCCAAAGTCTGGAAATTCGCATTAGGGACATGGCAGTCTGAACTAGAATGTTAAGTACAAGGAGTATTGGAGGGCGATAGGAAAATGGTTTCTGAGGTACCATCGAGGATTTCTTTTGGGCTCATCATCTAATTTTTTAAAAATGTTTAAAAACTAGAGAAAATATCATTTATATTCCTTCCTATGTTCATAAACTATCTATTAAATCTATCATTGAATAATAATTTGGCCTTTTTTGACAAAATACCCAACAAACTGGGAGTAGAAGGAAATTACCTCCCTACAATAAAAGTCATATATGAAAAGTCCACCTCTACCTCATATTCAACAGTGAAAAAAGTGAGAGCATTTCTTGTAAGATTAAGAACAAGCCATGGATGCCCACTCTTGCTTGCCACTTCCATTCAAGATAGAACTGCAAGAACAAGCGCGGGAATCACACAAGAAAGGGAAATAAAAGGAATCCGACTTGGCAAGAAAGAAGTAAAATTATGTCTTTGTGAGATCTCATATGGAGAAAATTGTAAAGTTTCTTCTCAAAATCCTGTTAGAAGTAATAAATTCCGCACGTTGCAGAATACAAAATTAACACTCAAAAATGACTTGTACTTCTATGCACTAACAAGGAATGATATAAAAATGCAGCTAAGAAGACAATCCATTTTGAACAACAACAAAATGAATGAAATAATAACTTAACGAAGGAAGTGAAACATTTGCACACCGAAAACCAGAGAGCGTTGCGGAAAGAAATTAAAGAAGATACAGTAAATGGAAAGGATACAGTCTCTTCAACAAACGGTGGGACTGAGAGTATCTACATGCAAATGAATGAAAATGGGCCCTTTTTAAAACATCATATACTTAAATCAGCTCAAAGTTGAGTACAGGGCCAAATAGGAGACCTTAAAGTATAAAACTCTTAGGAAAAAACAAGGACAAACTTCCTGACATTGGAATGGGTAATGATTTCTGAGATATGTCTTGAGAAGTACAATAAACAAAATAAAAAATAGATGAGACCACTAAAGATTTCTGTGAAACAAATGACACAATCAAGAGAGTGAAAAGACAATGTGTAGAAGGCAGGCAGTAGTTGTAAAACATACGTCTGATAAGGTTTTACTCTCTGAATATGTAAGGAACTCCTGCAATTCAGCAGTGAAAAATCAAGTAACTTAATTAAAATTGGGTTCTCTGGACTCAATAGTGTCCCTCCAAAACTCCTGTGTTGAAACCCTAATCCTCAATGTGTTGGCACTTGGAGATGGAGCATTTTGGACGTAATTAGGGGTGGATGACATCATGAGAGTGGGGCCCTCATGATGGATTGGTCTCATCAGGAAGAGAAAGATCTATGCCTTTCTCCCAAGTAGTATGCACAAAGAAGAGTACAAACACAGAGCAAGATGGAGGTTGCCTAAAAGCAAGGAAGAGAATTTCACCATGATAGCACCTTGATCTTGGACTTCAGTCTCCAGAAGTGTGAGAAAAACACATTTCTCTGGATTGTCACTCACTCTGTGGTATTTCATTATGGCAACCCAAGCTGACTAATACAATGGAAACGGACTTGAATAGATATTTATTCAAAGAAGATACGTGTAAATGGCCCAAAAACATATTAAAGATGGTCAATGTCAATAATCACCATGGAAATGCAAATTAAAACATCTCATACCTGTTAGGATGGCCAGTATGAAAATAACATATAATACCATGTGTTGACAAGGATGTTGGGAAACTTAAATACTGACACACTGTTTGTTGAACTGTAAAGTGTTGCAGCCACTATGTAAAACAGTAGGGAGTTTAATCAAATAATTAGAAATAGAACTTCCCTGTGATTATATATGAGTAGAATTTGAAAAGAGGATCTTGAATAAATATTTCTGCACTCATTGCACTGCAGCATTACTCACAGTATGCAAGTTATGAAAGCACCCTAAATGATTGATAAATGGATGAAGAAAATGTGCTATCCACACACACACACACACAGACACACACACACACACACACACACACACACACACACACACACACACACACAGACACACACGCGCGCGTGCGCGCGCGCGCACGGGATTATTAGTCTGCCTTAAAAAAGGAGGAAATACTCTCATATGCTACATCATGGGTGGACCTTGAGGACACTACACTAAATGAGATAAAACAATCACAAATGAGAAATACGTATATGAGATATATAAAGTAATCAAATTCATGGAAACAGAAAATGGAATGATGGTTGCCTGGGGCTTGGGGGAGGATCTCCTGGGGAGTTGCTCACTGGTATAGAGTTTCAGTCATAGAAGATGAAAAGTCCAAGCAACTTGTTGTACAACAATGTGCATGCAGTTAATAATACCATTTTGCCTACTTAAAAACTGCTGAGGAAAATTTATTATTTTTTTTCATTCTCTTTTAAACCACAATAAAAATAAATAAAGAAATCGGCTGGGGTGGGGGTTTTAATTGCATCCAGATTGAGATGCACAGATATACAATAAACCATGGGCATATGGATTCCTGCAAAATCTTTCCTTCCATGTCAAAACCTTTGTGGATTTCAGATCTCTTAAAACTACTTTTAAGATCCTAAGGACTCAGAAATCTGTAGATGGAGAATAATAAACCTAATCCAATTGCTTTCTGAGTTTAGGCAGACTGACTCTTTTAATATCTCCTGTCTGAGGGGCAGCAGAAGTGAGCCTCTCATTATTTTTTAGGGTGATTGTACCTCATTTATTTAGCAGATGCTGTTTCTGGTTAGAGACATGTGGGAAAGTTCAGCGACACTAACTAGCTCTCTCAAAACAGTTTTTGGAATGCAGGCAAAAAATCACATTCACTTTTGTGTAGGAACACCATGTGGTATGATTCAGTGTACATACAAAGATCATGCAACTTTACATAATATATTAATCATGCCCTATTCTAAGACATTTGATCCAATAACTGAATAATCATGAGATTAGTGTTAGAAAGCTCCCTTTTGGATTTATAGTCTAAGATTTCCTTTACTGCCTTTTCATTAGTTAACAATGTTTTACAAAAGCATATAATGATGTATTTTTAAGTATGGAGGGTTAACACTGGAGAAAATATATATCCACCACCATTCAGTCTTATTGCAACATTCTGCTACGAAAGACATCAGGTCCTCATTTCTACTTCAAAAATCAAGCACAAAAATAAAAACAAACAGAAAATGAATCAATATACAGTGAAACCACCTGCCAGTCCTTCCTTCTTCTTTTGTGGTGATAACTACTCTGAATTTGGTATTATTATCTTCCAATTGTTATACATTTGTTCCTTATTAATATATCTTTAAATAACATATAATTACTTTACCCATCTAAAACCTTTATATGAATTGTCTCTTACTGTATAATATGCTGTTTTGTATCTTGCTTGCTTTGTGAATGGCTGTGATTTTTAGGAAATAGTGCTTCTTTTGTTAACTCCTGAGACCCAGCTGGTACCTGAAACCAGGTCAGTTTCAGGACACCTTTAAATCCCCCTGGCTCCTCACCTTGCTGACTGGGCATCCATTCTTCATCAGAATCCTCAGTGTCATCCAGGTAGTGCTTGATGGCCTGCGTGCAACGACACATGAAAGCTGGTCGAGGAGATCTGAGACCTGGAAAGAAGCAAAAACTTTGCCTTAAAAGAGAAGAGCTGGAAGAATGAACAAAGCACAACAAGAAATGAAAGCACTATAAAGTCATGGCGACTCAGTCGGATGTGCTGAGAGGGTCTAGGGTAAGGCAGGAGGTGAGCGCCCCATTACCAGTACCGGCCCCACACTGGTAAAAAAGTATTTTCCTGTGGGTTTGTCTCCACACAGAAGGGAACTGTGGGCAGATGGAGAAACCTGAGAGAGAGACAGACTGATACAGGGGTTTAAGACTTGCTTTCCAGGCTACTCTGCACTCCACATGTCGTGTTACCTATAAAGACCAGTGCTTCATAGCTCCTTTTCACATTTCTGTATCGGATTTTCTCCCAGTCTCCCATCTCTGTCCATTCTTTCTTGGAAAAGTATATGGGAATTTCTTTGTAAGCATCTCTGGCCTAGAGAAAATAATAGGTTCCATCAGTGATTTACTAATACAAGTCAGAACTGTGTGTTGGGCCTTCTGCTCCATCTTGCATGTAGGGTGTAGCCTGAGGCTGCAGGGTGGTCTCTGAAATAAGGGTAAGGCCTCTGTCTCCTGACTGGGTACTGAATTACTGTGCCAAGTGAGAATTTTTCCATTCCTCCCATGACATAGAGTAGTTCCTGATGCTAGGGTCCGGTTTTCTCCCCATGTCTCAGAAATCCTGCATGCATTCACAGACAGGCTTGCCTACTGGTGCAGGCTCCATGTCACTGGGCCCTTCCTCCCCTCCTTCTTACAGATCCCATCTGGAGCCTGGCTTCACCTTCCACACCTCTCTCCGTAGCCTTCCAGCTCATTCCCTTTGAGTGTCCCTTACTGTTCTCCAGGGACATGTCGGAGTTCATGGTGCTTGGTATGGCCAGGCAGGTCCTGCTGGAACTCTGAAGCCAGCAAGTGTCCCTAAGTCTTCCAGCCCCAAAGCAAGGCACCTGTGAAGGTAAAAGGTGCAGAGAGGGGGAGGCCGCCCAGACAACTGCCCCAAGGCGGGTGTTCCTATCCAGGGCAGGAAGATGTGGGGACCCAGTGGGGAAAGATGGGGGCATTGGTGGGATGGGAGCATATCCAGTGGCCACAACCAGCCTAACATGAGCTGAATATTGTTTCTTTAGTCCCCTGCAGCCGAGTTCCTCTGGGAAAAGGTGGCTAAGGTGTCTGGAGTGCCCTGGCAGTGGGTGTTGGAGGCAGTTCTCAGCCTGGAGGACTTCCAGGGAGATGCAGACCACTGGATGCCACAACTGGGGTCAGGATGATGATCATGAAACTGATCCAGCAAGAAGAAATGCATATTTCTCAGAGAAGAGATATGGGGATCTCCATGTACGAATTCTGGAGAAATCTGGGTGTAAAGCTGTCTAAATTTCTAAGGAACACAGATCTTGGGCTGTGGAAATTGGGGCTGCTGAGTGAGGGGTTTTGGGGTCTCATACTGAGGAGAATTGGGATCCTAATGGCTGATGGCATTTGCAGTCTCTCAGAAGAACGTTTGGAGTCTCGGGCTCAAGGGATTTAGAATGCTCAGTTTGAGAGGATTTTAAATCTTTGAGGCTAAGGAAATTTGAGGACTGTCAGGCTAAGGAAATTTGGAGTCTCATTAAAGGGGCTTAGGACCTCTGATGTTGAGGTACCTTTGGGTTTTTGAAGCTGAGGTGAAATGAATAGTTTTCAGGCTTGGGGTATTCAAAGTCTCTGAGACTGAGGAAACTTGTTCTCTCTGTAGGTGCTATAGTTAGGGTTACTTGGGTGGAGAGTTTTGGGCATGGCTCAGGCTGAGGGGAGCTGGGGTTACTGAGGGTATCGGGAGGGCTCTAGGCCTTAGGGGATTTAGTATTTCTCTGGGTGAAGGGCTTTGAGATCTCTGAAGATGAGGTGGTTTGTATGAGGTGCTCTTCATGCAGAGATGTGAGATCCCTCCAGGTTAGCGGATTTAGGGTCCCTCAAGGTGCTGGGATTTGGTGTCCTGTGTGGCTGAGGGGATCTGGAACCTCTCAGGGTGGGTGAGGGGATCAGCTTCTCTCAGGCTGGAGGGTCTCTTTAAGGTGTAGGGTGGAAGGTTCAGAAAGGTTTTCACACTGCATCTTCATAAAGGCAAAGGCTCCCAATTACCTCTCAGTCTCCCTGGCATTGCTTCCATGTGGCTACCGTGGACAGGCACTGTGCGATGTCCACGTGATTCCCTCTCTCTGGAACGTGGTATGTTGGAGAAGGCGAGGTATGGGTTTGCTGTGCCTTTTCAGGCACAATTCACCAATAAGGGCTGTGATCAAAGCAGTTGCACCAATGGGAGGCCAGGAGGGACTGAACGGGTATATTGTAGGGCAACCCGTGCCTGTCAGTCACAAGCAGAACCCAGTCCTAGACTCATGTGGGTGGAGCAGGCTGGCCTTTGCCTCTGCTGTGGGATTGGCTACTTTGACTAATGCTCGTGCCTTTCAGGAGGCATCCTGCATGGGTGCGCAGTCTGCTGGTTTCTGTGACTGGCCTCTGGTCCTGGGGAGGTTCCCATGTGGTTGTAGCTGTGGCAACCTCTCAGCCCAGGCTTAACCTGGGGCTGAATGGATGACGGTTCTTTAGGAAAGATGCAGACATCATGCGCCCTGATAAATATTCTTTGCTCTGCCAGATACAGTCTCTGGAACATCTTCTGAGTTCCACCTGGGATCTCCCATATAAAATCCACTTTTAGCCAGAAACATACTACCATTTAGGATAGGATGCTTATTATAATATGTTGAGGAGAAGAGTATGTAATGATGTAAATTCTGATAAGACAGTGTGTAGACGCAAAATAAATTACACATGGTTCAAAGATTTAAACACAACAACTGGAATAATAGGTATATTAGAAAAATCACTGGGAGAGTTTCAAATCTGAAAGCATGTTTAAATAATGGAGGTCTACGGAGGCCTCTTAAATAATGCATAAGTAAAAGCCAATAAAAGCAGAAAACCTAGATAAAGTAGCCGTCATGTCAATTACTGAGCTGACTTTGCTGCTGGCACAGAACACACTCTTTGGATGTTTCAAGTCCCCACAATCCCATGGTTGATGCAAGTGCCTCCTCCCTGACAGCCTCTTAGTCTGACAAGAAAGGTTGAAATCCTCACTGAATGTGCCCCTGGCTCAACAATCTTATAGTGGCCTGTGGTTCTCACATCCTTTGGCCTACTGATTTTAAAAAAACTTTTTTTTTCATACCTTTTGAGAATTAAGTACATGAGAGTGAGTGTGTCTCTAAGCAGGCAGTTTCTCACTGTATGGTCTTGTAGAGCCACTGGCTACCTTGGCTCAGCCACTCGGGCCTCCAGTAGATTCTACAGTATGGGATAATCTTTGAGAATCTCACTACCTCACTGTGCAAGAATATCCTTACCATCTTAGCTTTTGGTCTCGGCGCTTTATGAAGGAGGGAGAAGAGACCGGAAATGAGCCAACTTCTTTGTGGATGGGTGAGGAATGTGGTCAGGGGTCAGGTGTGACTCCCGTGCTCCCACTTCCCAGGGACATAAATGATGCCTGTGTACCTTTGGAGGGCACAGGGGTCTTCTGGGCCTATCTTGAGATGCCAAGACTGGCACCTGAGCCAGGAGCCTTGCATTTACCTCCAGCAGCAACACTGCCTTTGCAGTAAGTGGAGAGCTTCATGCCTCTGTGGGAGGACACCAGGAGCACTGCCTGGGTGGCTGTAGCCCCAGCCTTCAGTTTGCCGCCTCCTCCCTTGGGTTTCAGGTTCACCAGAGCTGCACTGGGCCATCAGTGGTATGGAATCTGCTGCTTTCCCCACCTAGCATCTGTTCTTATGCCATGTCTAGCACCTCAGCTTTCCAGGGAACTTCATCTCTCCTGCTACAGTCCAAGCAATTCCAGAGGGAGACCACATGTTCCAACCATCAGGAAGATGGGCCATGATCCCAGCCAACCAGCCTCACATTCTATCCTCTGGGTGCTCTGATGGATTCAGTGATGGGAATGTGAACAAGCCAGGCTAAATGCATTTAAACCTCTGGCTTTTCATGGACCTCCAGAGAAGGAGAAATGATTTCTGCTAGAATGGACAGTGAATGGGTGTTGGACTGTAGCTGCTGAAAGTCCCAGATGCAGCAAGAGAGTTTGTGCCTGCAAATGGGTCTACCCTATAGGCACATAGTATGTTGGAGGATTGGAAGAGAGTCCGGGTCACACTGTGAGAGGGCAAACAGCTGGAACTGCCAGGCCCTAACCTGATCTTAAACTTGCCTCATAGTTTTCCATTAAAAAATTACTTATTCTACTTCAGTAGGTGTGTCCACTGTCTTGCAAAAAAGTTCCTAGTTGACATATCAATATCAGTAATTACTGAGAATACCTCCACCTCTTGTCCTCACTGGGTGGGGCCAGCCTGGGAGAGGTGAAGACATTTTGTGGGGCCAGATCTTAAGGGGGCTACCACACAGCTCTGTCCTTGCTCCTTTGCAGTGTGGGGAGAGGAAGCCCTGGAACAGTGACAGGAGAATCAAGATCACAGCAGAAAGAAATAAAATCAAGTAGAATAAAACAATCAAATCAATGAAAGTAGGAACTGGTTCTTTGGGAAAATAGAGATAATACATAAACCCCAATCAGACTTATCAAGGAAAAAGGAGAGTCTATACACATGAACATAATCATAAATGAGAAAGGAAAAATCACTACAGACACCACAGACACCCAAGGAATTATTAGAGAATACTGTGTAAAATTATGTGTGAACAGACAGGGTAACCTAGAAGAAGTGGACAACTTTCTAGAAAAATAAAACTTTCCAAGACTGACCCAGGAAGAAATATAAACTCTGAGCAGACCAATTACCAGAAATGAATTTGAACTGGTAATAAAAAACCTACCTAAGAACAAAACTAGAGGTCTAGATGGCTTCACCACTAAATTTTATCAAACGTTTCATGAAGACCTAACACCCAACCTCCTTAAGGTTTTCCAAAAAGTAGAAGAGGAGAGAATACTTCCAATCTCACTCTATGATGCCAGCATCACTCTAATACCAAAACCAGGTAAAGACACCACACACACACAAAAAAAATTACAGACCAATGTCCCTAATGAAAATAGATGCAAAAACACTCAAGAAATTATTAGCAAACAAAATTCAAAAATATATCAAAATGAATATCCATCATAATCAGGTGGGGTTTATTCCAGGGATGTAAGGATGGTATAATATTTAAAAAATCAATCAACATCATGCACATCACCCAAAAGGAAAAAAATCAAATGATCATTCCCATAGATGCTGAAAAAGCATTTGACAAAATTCAACATACATTCATGGTAAAAACTCTACAAAATTGGTATAGAGGGCTAGTACCTCAACATAATAAAGGCCATATATGACAAACCTACAGCCAACATCATACTTAACAGTGAGAAACTGAAAGGTTTTCTTTTAAGATTGGGAACAATGCAAGGATGCCTACTCTCACCAATTTCATTCAACAACATAATACTTGATGCCCCAGCAATGGCAGTCAGACAACACAAAGAAATAAATGTCATCTGGATTGACATGGAAGAAGTTAAGCTGTTACTGTTTGCAGATAACATGATGTTGTACATAAAAACTCTAAAGAATCCACTCCAAAACTACTAGAACTAATATCTGAATTCAGATATTTGCAGGATACAAAATTAACATGCAAAAATATGTTAATTTGCTATACACCAACAATGAACTAGCAGAGAGAGAGAGAAATCAGGAAAACAATGACATTCATAGTTGCATCAAAAAGAATAAAATACCTAAAAATAAACCTAACCAAGGAAGTGAAAAGCCTATACTCTGAAAACAACAGGACACTCATGAGAGAAATTAAA